GCAAAACCCTCGGAATCGCGGTAGTAACAACTAATGGTACATTGCAAATCTTGGTTAAACATAAACCAAATAATAATCATGAGGTATTCGACCTAGGGTAACTCAAAAGAGATACAAGGAAAATAGGTCAAACACACAAGACCAGATACACGGAATCAGAGCCTCCCCGGCCGCCTTTGTCTTCCAACATTTTGACACAGGGTAGCAATAAAATATGTATGAAGGGTGTCTCCCCTCGAGATAGCAAACACCACGAAGGCAGAGGGGGGGGGGATGCAAACCAAAACAGAAACATGGTGATCGAAAGCAGCCAGTCAAAGGTCAAAGGGGGGGGGGGGGGCAACCAGGCGGCTGCGGCCACGGGAGGAGAATGAGGCATAGGGCATCTGTTTTTTTCTCTGGCAAGAGACGCGCAGAAAGGGGAGAGAATTTCACACTTAAGCAAGGACACAGATCATGCAAGTCAGTACTGCGACGGGCAGGCTCCGGGGCATGGCCTCGAGATCAACAATGGGTGTCGTGTCTCGCAGAGAAGAGGGGCGAGATGATGCTGGGTGCTGAGTTTGGCATGGACCGACAGAGTATCGCTGAAAGTTTTATTATACATTTATCCTGATGTTTTGAGTCGCTTGCAGAGTCAAGGATTGCGATAAATTGTAATGTACTAAGCTTTCAGTTGTGTAAGAGGTGTGAGAATACAATTTACAAGTTTTGAGAGTGAGTGAACCAGCCAGCGACGAGCAGCTCACAGCAGGAGCCCTCTTGGAGGAAGGGCGGAGAGCATGGAAGTTGAGCAACGACAAAGCGAAGCCCTGAAGGAAGGGTGTGAGAGGCATTACTGAATGCCAGCACGAAGCTGGCAGCTGCACGCCAAAGGAGAGACTGCAGCAGTGGAGAGAGCCTGAGCCAGCGCAGCCCTGAAGTAAGGGCGGGTATCCGTGTGAAGCTGGCAGCTGCACGAGAGAGCAAGAGAGAAAGAGAGAGAAAGAGTGACGAGCAACGACAAGCAATCATCCTGGAGAAAGGGCGGAAAGCGCCAAGCATCGACCAAGCGAGCATCGCAGAGGACCAGCAGCAGCGGAGAGCACGGAGCAGGAGAAAGAGCCTGACCAGCTGCCCGTGAGGAAGAGAACGCCGGCGAGAGCGCCATGGGTTCGACCCACACACACCGACCAGCACCAGCTGGGAACCAAGACAAGAGTGAGGAACGGCGACCAGCGGACGAGCTGCGAGCGAACACCTTCAAAGACGAGCGTCGTGCCGACTCTCTTCATCCAGCAGTGGACAAGCAGCTGCAGCTGCCGCCTCGAGGGGGGGGAGAGCTGTGTGTATGACACGCCCACACTTGCACATCCACAACGCATCGCCCGGCGTCTGCTTCATGCAGAGTTGAACAAGGGACGATATACCAACACACACATAACGCACATATCGTGACTAATAAGAGGACTCCAAAAGTTATCCTTGTGTTTCGCCCATTGAGTTACGTTGATATGGTTGTCTAGAAGTGTTTTAGTCATTATTTTTGTTAATTGCATAACTGTACCAATGAATGCATTGATTAAACTAAACATTTAGGAACATTTATGTTACGAATCTCCACTCACAGGGAGACTGGTGTTAAACTCTTTCCTTTGACCACAGAATCTTGCCCGCAAATGTACTGAAGCCTTAGCCAATTGATAAGCATTTGCGAAACAAGCAAGCACACTGCCGCACATCATTGTTCCAAGACATTTCATTAGTTGCATAATCTTACCAATGAATTCATTGAGGTCTACTTTTGCTTTCGGGACATGTTTCTTCCTTGCCGTTCGTATGAATATTGTCACACTCATTTTTAAGGACGTTTTCCTATCGTCGTGTATGCTCGCTTTACTCTGAGGAATTAACCGATTGTTCTGTTACCCAGTTTAACAAACGTAATCATTGAGGGTTAAATGTACAGATCAATGAGGACATCTCCAAAAGTACTGTGTTGACATTCCAAGCATAAGTGTTTGGATATTAGTGTTTTTTTTAATTAGAAAGTAAAGTTGCTTAACACAGAAGTGTCTAAGTGTTGCCTTCCTAAGTTCATGCATAATCATCTTAATTACTAGAACTGTATCCTGCAGAGAGATTTGAATTTTGAGACCTGACAAACACTAAAACATAATCAGTAAAAGTTAAAGCGAGAATAATTGTATTCTTCTAACTGATAATACAACCCTAGACAACAAAGCCGAGCTAAATCAGCATACTTACATCACACTTGCATAATTTCATACAATTCATTGTATTATCCCGATTGATAATACAACCCGAGACAATGAGGCAGATCCTAATTATCATATTATACATTAGCATAATCGCATACACTTGCATAACTCAACACAATTACACCTTCCAAATTAGCATAAATTAGCATAAATTCAGATAGTTACATATTTTTTACATTTCCATTTAACTTTATTATTTTAATAAAATTTTCAAGATACAACATATACAACAGATGCCACCCTGAGATAGAGCCGGGACCGTTGAGATGCCGAGTTCCCCCGACCCCAGGTGAGGGATTGGGGGGGTTATTCCAGAGCCCCCTGGAAGGTTCCAGAAAGGGGGCGGTACCAGGGGCGGACAGTCCCCGAGGTGGATATAGAAGACGGACCTCAAGACGGCTCGAGGCAGTGCTCTGAAGACGAAGACTGAAGACCAGCTAGGCTAGGACCCTGGGGACCCCCGGGACCCGACGTCCTTTTAAGGGCTGGGGCCGAGCGCGGGCCGTACCCCGGGTTAGTGTAGCCTGGCCTAGGTCACCCTTAGCCAGAGGACAGAGCCTGTGGTCCCAGTGATAGGGCACGTAAGCCCGATGGCCATACCTCCCCAAGTAGCGGGTAAAGGGGCCGTCACCCCTTTGTGTTAGGGACCGAATGTCATGTTTATTATAATAAACGTGTTGCCTCTAAGAGCTACGTCTCCGTGGGAACCCACGACACATGCTCTGATACGTGCATTGGCATTGTGCTATTCGTCTTTTGGCGTTCTCTGGTCTGACTGGCGATACTCAGCCATAAAGAACACCGTCTCTGGTGTAGGCCAATCAGTTTCTAATACAATGCATACATTATATTATCAGAGCATGTTTTGTTTGCATGTTCACAAGTACGTGTGGTTAATGCAGACTTGAGTCCTTCCAAAAGGTATCTATTTGGTGTTTTAATATATTTCCACCTGTTTTATTGCCAGAAAGGGTAAAATCTATTCTTAATTTTTATACTTTGTTACTGGCAAAAAAAGGTCCCATGACATGTAAACAGTGTTATTCTCCTGTTTACAGTCAAGCCAGTGGTGGAAATTCCTCATTCCTGTGGTGGGAGCGAGCCTCCCGGTAGGATAGCCGCTGTTGGCTTTCCCACAAAATGATTGTAAAAAAAAAAGGTACATCTGAGGAACGATGGAATTGGTTAAACTCCAATCAAGATTGAACTCGCAGCCTTCCAATTGTTGCTCGCTCACTCTAGCTCTGCCACCTGGCCGGTAATATACTGCACTACTACTGATGTAATATGGATCGAGACCCTGAATGAGTGAAGTCATTGATTTGCGAATTGGGCCAATCATTGCATGCTTTATAACTCCGTAATCCACGTTTGAATAGCCCTCTTACACGATCAGTTCCTAATAACATTTCCATTTATATTATACATTTATTAAAAAAAACACAATTATTCAATTACAAATTTATTATTTTAAAAGTGTTTGCAAGTGTTTTAACAAAGCGATGCAGTTGGTCACAAAATACATTTAAGTAAATGAAGACTGACATCCGTGCCGCTATTCATGAATGGCGTTTCACACATACATCACCAACTAACCACCTGGCAGACTGCGAGACCATCACGGCTTACTAAGCTACTGACAATTTTATGGGCACAAACAAACAGCACGCAGGCTTCAACTATATAACAATTCCTATTGACATACATATTACGGCAATCATATAGCACCTGATGAGTATTGTTTTACAAATCCCATTCAACTGTTACAAGGGCCAGGTGTACCATGTGATCGCAGGTTTGCTATCACGTGATCATTTATTGATTTCATCTCTTTACTCCATACGAAGGGGAATGCATGTTTTTTTGCATATAGTGCCATTACTCAGAGTTGTGATGGCCAAGTTAACTATTTTTTATTTATTTGTTGGCAAATATACCACAACAGTTGAGTGACACTAGAGCCACTACATTCCAAATGGTATCCCAGGGCAAGGATTTGAGAATTGAGAGGTGCCGGGCAAAACCACAATTGAATCGATTTGTGGTAGCCCGGGTCACCGCAAAATATCGGTGGGCCAGGCATAGTTTAAGGTTTTTTTTCTGGGAGCATCGCTGGTACTACCCTGTCCTGCCGGAGGGCGACGCTGGGAGCGATGATGACGACGATGTCGATCCACCAGCACGACCATGACCGCCGGCCGTACCAAGAGAGCGCCTGGTGCGCCATTGCCTCCAAGTGGTCTCGCTCCCAAAGACAAGGGTAGCCATCCCCGTAAGAAGCAGAACGTGCTGGGGAATGACCAGACCAGCATCCTGATGTACTTTCAAAACAAGCAATAAACAGCCGTTGCCACGCACAAATCCCCAGCAGCCCATCCTTTTTTATGGGTGTTTTGCGTTTGTTTTTTATTTCTATATTTGGCGTGCGTATTGGGCTCAGTGACATCTCCCGTCTTCATAGGCCTTCTGGTTTCGGAGTTATGGAGGTTTTGGCACCCCCGGGTCACGATGGTGGCCCGGGTCACCGCCAATCGATTCAATTATAAACAAGGCATGTGAATCCCAATGCCGGATTGACAATCAGGATGAAAATAATGAGCGAATGAAATGTTTTATATTAAAAAATCAGGCTGATGAATGCATTTTCCTTAAAATGTATTGCAATGCAAAAAACTTACACCCTATTAAGATTAAGGCACATTTTAAAGAATGAAGAAATGACCTACAGACAATGTTGGGAAACATAGGAAGGTATTAAAGGTATTGTTAAAAAAACTTTTCAAATGCCAACACTACACCATGTTACGTTCAGTTAATATGTAACGATACAAAATGTAACATATACTGACAAACCAATCCTGTGATTGTACTCCAGAGTGAGCCTATGGCCACTAGTTGTTATGGATTTGCAGAGGGATTTTAGACTTGAACGTGGCCGTCTCCGCGACGTCGTTGCAGCCGTCGCTCTTGTTCTGGAGGCTCGGCGTGCAGGAGGAGAATGCCTTGTTCTCCTTGTCCTTCTTGGTCTCCTTGTCCTTCTTGTTTCTGGATGCTCTCTGGGCACGCAACATTTAAAAGTCAGCGATTTCCTGCTTAAGTGAGTATTGAAGCGGCACTCATGCGCTATTTTACATCCCTGAGCCAAGTGGACGTTCCTATGGCAGGGGAAAGTCTATCCATGCGATCACCAACAACAGATACTTAATTTAATGACCCCGGAGGGGTGATAGGCTGAGTCAACCCCCAACCCAGATTTGAACTCACAGCCTTCCAATTGTGAGCCGCAGCTGCTGCTGTCGTGATTCAGGTCTCACGTAAGGGGTCAGCTGCACGAGTTGTCCTTACTCAGTCTCTATGAGAACACTGGGAAACTAAAAACAACTATCCCAGGTTATTATTATTGTTGTTCATTCACTATGGGAGTGGAGGGTGTTCACTGAGCCACTTGGTCGGATACGCTTTACAGATTATATTTTGTTTATAAACTGTAAATAACAGTCATTCATAATTCCATGCTGGTTTAATAGCTTGTACCTCTAGTTTTTTTCTTCCATCAATCCGATGGAAGAAAATACATCTTAATAGCTTCTCATGTCAATGAATGACAGCTACTCAGCTTACAGACTAATATTTGTATTTGAAATGCAGATATCACCTTTAATATTAAAACAATGATTGTAGCAGGAGAGAATTGTATTTATTTTGTTAACATATTCTTAATTTCATACATGTTTTTCAATACTACGTAAAAATCAAAAAAATAAACAAGACGGCTGTTCGACAACTTGGAATGTTTCTTCTGCTGCAAGAAGGGCATAGATTCGATTCCCAGATCGGGGCGCTTTCTGTGTGCAGTGTATATGTTCTGCCCTTGTTCTGAATGAGTTTCCTCTGGATTGCCAGGTGTCATGCTGTCGCTAAACATCCTAATGCTGAAAATGTACCTAAAAATTTGCTCAATTGGGGTTACGCATAGCAACACTGACCACTACTGTGATAACTTGGCAGGACCCTCCAGAAAGAGTTGCGATTCAGCGAGGCTATCCTGGGTCAACAAGCCTAATAATAAATAGTAAGACAAATTTTAGAGCGATTTGTTAACACAAATAAAAAAGTTTTTATTTGACCAGGTAAGGTCCACTGAGCTACAAATACAGTGAGGGAAAAAAGTATTTGATCCCCTGCTGATTTTGTACGTTTGCCCACTGACAAAGAAATGATAAGTCTATAATTTTAATGGTAGGTTAATTTGAACAGTGAGAGACAGAATAACAACACAAACATCCAGAAAAACGCATGTCAAAAATGTTATAAATTGATTTGCATTTTAATGAGGGAAATAAGTATTTGACCCCCTCTCAATTAGAAAGATTTCTGGCTCCCAGGTGTCTTTTATACAGGTAACGAGCTGAGATTAGGAGCACACTCTTAAAGGGAGTGCTCCTAATCTCAGCTTGTTACCTGTATAAAAGACACCTGTCCACAGAAGCAATCGATCAATCAGATTCCAAACTCTCCACCATGGCCAAGACCAAAGAGCTCTCCAAGGATGTCAGGGACAAGATTGTAGACCTACACAAGGCTGGAATGGGCTACAAGACCATTGCCAAACAGCTTGGTGAGAAGGTGACAACAGTTGGGGCGATTATTCGCAAATGGAAGAAACGCAAAAGAACTGTCAATTTCCCTCGGCCTGGGGCTCCATGCAAGATCTCACCTCGTGGAGTTGCAATGATCATGAGAACGGTGAGGAATCAGCCCAGAACTACACGGGAGGATCTTGTCAATGATCTCAAGGCAGCTGGGACCAGTCACCAAGAAAACAATTGGTAACACACTACGCCGTGAAGGACTGAAATCCTAAAGCGCCCGCAAGGTCCCCCCTGCTCAAGAAAGCACATATACATGCCCGTCTGAAGTTTCCCAATGAACATCTGAATGATTCAGAAGACAACTGGGTGAAATTGTTGTGGTCAGATGAGACCAAAATGGAGCTATTTGGCATCAACTCAACTCGCCATGTTTGGAGGAGGAGGAATGCTGCCTGTGACCCCAAGAACACCATCCCCACCGTCAAACATGGAGGTGGAAACATTATGCTTTGGGGATGTGTTTCTGCTAAGAGGACAGGACAACTTCGCCGCACCAAAGGGACGATAGACAGGGCCATGTACCATCAAATCTTGGGTGAGAACCTCCTTCCCTCAGCCAGGGCATTGAAAATGGGTCGTGGATGGGTATGCCGGCATGACAATGACCCAAAACACACGGCCAAGGCAACAAAGGAGTGGCTCAAGAAGAAGCACATTAAGGTCCTGGAGTGGCCTAGCCAGTCTCCAGACCGTAATCCCATAGAAAATCTGTGGAGGGAGCTGAAGGTTCGAGTTGCCAAACGTTAGCCTCGAAACCTTAATGACTTGGAGCAGATCTGCAAAGAAGAGTGGGACAAAATCCCTCCTGAGATGTGTGCAAACCTGGTGACCAACTACAAGAAACGTCTGACCTCTGTGATTGCCAACAAGGATTTTGCCACCAAGTACTAATTCATGTTTTGCAGAGGGGTCAAAAACTTATTCCTTCATTAAAATGCCAATCAATTTATACCATTTTTGACATGCGTTTTTCTGGATGTTTTTGTTGTTATTCTGTCTCTCACTGTTCAAATAAATCTACCATTAAAATTATAGACTGATCATTTCTTTGTCAGTGGGCAAACGTACAAAATCAGCGGGGGATCAAATACTTTTTTCCCTCACTGTAGCTCTATTTCAGGAGTAACCTGGCTACAAATAATAGCTCAAAGTGGCGGCTTATCATGTGGAAATTTATAGCAGCCAAATACTCTAAACGCATGTTTCTACATGTGAAGGGAAAAACCGGAGGACCCGGGGAAAAATGTACGTGACCACAGGGAGAACATGCAAACTCCACATATATAAAACAGGCATCAGGGTCGGGATCGAACCCATGACCTCCTGCATACTAGGTGAGGGAGTTAATCTCTCCACCGCGACAGTTGATTGTTGATCCACAGCTAGATAGGCCTGTTCCGTGCTGTAAACCACACGTTACCACACTATCACCAGCGCTGTTTCATACCTGAAAGAATGGAAGACCAGAGGAGTCTTCGGAAGGAACATCTTCATCGATATCGGACTTCTCCGTTGACTCTTCCTCAAAACTATCACTTTCTTCTACATTGTCCTGTAACGGCAACATGGAATATTTAGCACGATACGTACGTTGAAAATTTTCTTATTATTAATGGATGAGTGTGGCTTCCAAAACATAAATTCAAAGGGCATTCCGTGATGGAATGTCTTATGTCGTTAAAGATGTGAAACTGTAAAATTCTAAAATCATATTCGAGTCAATGTTACATTTTTTGTAATTAAACCATCAAGTCACCATGCAGTAAGCACAATGTGTGCGACATCCCTGAGGTACATTGTAAATGTATTCAAAACACACGCATGCACACACATGCACATGCATCAAACTTGATACAACTATCTGAGTTAGCCTTGACTGGTTAGGTTTTAATTTAGTTTGAGCAATTTAAGAGTGATTAGAATGTCACAAAATATACCTTTCCCTAACCACCCACAGTCAGGCTCAAGAGAGGACTAGATCTATGAAATCATTACACCTTAAGTGCGTAGCAGTGCAACTGCTGTCACCTACATAATAATATTGATATGTACGTGTATAAAGAGTAATATAATATAACATTAAACATTCTGAATTACTTTTCATGTTTCAATGCAAAGAGGCAAAGTTAATTAATGTTTACACAAAACATAACTCTGGCCGTATTCTCAGTCACGGCTTGGGTCTGTCTCAGCCTCTAAAAACACTCGGGCTCGAGCCACTCCGTTTCTTCCAAAGATGCATGAGCATCTTCTTTGGTTCTTTCGGTAAAGTCACGTAGAATCAGAATAAAATAATACAATAAAATTCTCACGACGTTTCGGCCACAACACAAGTGGCCTTCTTCAGGTGAAAGGAACAAACCTGTCTGGATGACAGAGCTACAATGAGCGCTGCCAACATTCGCAACGTCTTTTAAGCTGGTTGAGAGAAGTGAGGCACCTTGACAAAGGGGTTTACATATCAAACAGGATAATTTAGCATTGAAACAGTTGAGGGATTAGCTTGTGACTGGTCACAGAAATAGCTATGTTAAAGTCAAAGCCTACACATCCACAGAGGCACCTCGTACATGGACGCCAATGGGGCTGCAACAACTCAACTATCATAAAGTAAACCGATGTGAAAAAAAACCTAAGTCTAAATTACATCAATATAATAAATGTACTCAATATATTCTTCAATAAGCAGAGCTATTAACAGCAACTGGGTATACACTACACTATATAATGAATACCATATAGTAAACAGATAAAAACTAAAATATAAACTACCTCAATGTTATCAATAAACTCTATACATTCTCCAATCAGCTGAGCTACCAACAATAAGTCGTTATATATCACGATGCTATATGGCGAAAAAATGGATGGATTCTTACCCTCCACATCAGCACCACGGACCGCTACGAGCCCCATTCAGACGGACGAGTCCATCATGGTCGGAACAAAGGAGGGAGGAAACAGCTGCGAGGCGCTGTTATCAGTTTACTTTATAGTTGAGTTGTTGCAGCCCCTTTGTCGTCCATGTATGAGGTGCCTCTGTGGACGTGTAGGCTTTGACTTTAACATAGCTATTTCTGTGACCAGTCACAAGCTAATCCCTCAACTGTTTCAATGCTAAATTCTCCTGTTTGATATGTAAACCCCTTTGTCAAGGTGCCTCACTTCTCTCAACCAGCTTAAAAGACGCTGCAAATCTTAGCAGCGTTCATTGTAGCTGTCGTCCCGACAGGTTTGTTCCTTTCACCTGAAGAAGGCCACTTGTGTTGTGGCCGAAACGTCGTGAGAATTTTATTATTTTATTCTCATTCTACGTGACTTTACCGAAAGAACCAAAGAAGATGAATCCTTGCAGTCACGAAAGCTTTAAATCGAAATTTAACCGCCTCTATGGGGAGGGATTCCACACAACCTTAAGATCATTCAACAAACTCCGGGACAAGAAAGCTCAACTAATCGAGTCTCTCACCTTTCTGAAGAGATGCCGCGACTCTAAGGTAATACCAACCGCATTTACACTAACCTCTGCTGCTGCAACTTCTTTCAATGCAAAACGCATTCTAGCTAGAACTAGCTTCACTCTTATTTAAAAAAAAATCAGACTTACACGCACCGAACTGGATCAGTTAGACAAGACACTCTACAAATCACACTTAACATTGACAGCAACTATGTATGACTACCTCTTCGGCTGCCACTATGTCGACCAAATGTATGGACAATTTGATTTCCAAATTCAATCACCTCTCCAACAAAAAATCGGATCCACACACCGAAAAGATAGACGTTAACAAAGTCGTAATTAATCGCAGTAACAGTTCCAATTCTGATGGCCTGAAATCCGTTTTAGCTAAAGGTCTAAACTTTGCTGTCACACCGAGACACATACTGGTTAATGATATCATTGTCCATGTCGACGTTGCATTCGAGGGCTTGAGTCACATCTCTGCAGACGTAGCAAGATCTGAAATCGCTGCAACCCTCCAAAACGCTAAGTTGCCACCTAGCAACATCAATCCATGCTCGGAACGGAGGAGGGAGGAGAGAAACAGCCACAATGCGCTGTTATACTCCATGTTATAAACTATACCATTAACCGTGGTGTGAGAGGTATTAAGAGGTAATGCCAGCGAAAAAACTGCGGTCTGACGGTCATCGTAAAATACAATTAATTAAGAACCGAAATGGTTTAAAACATCTTTCCAATGGTGACTAAGCCAGAATCCATCTTCTCGGTTGAAATTGTCACTGTGCTTGAATATGTGGATGGCCTCATGAACGAATCTCTCATGGTAGCCGGTTGGCTTGCAAAGAACCTCCGTCTTGGAGAAGTCGATGTCATGTGAACACACTGAATTATAACAGTGATCTGCCACGGCAGAAGAGTTCATCCTACCGTGTTTCAAGTCTGCTTTATGTTAGCGGATGCGGTCCGAGATATGTCGTTTGGTTTCTCCAATGTAGTTGCTACCACAGAGGCACTTTAGTTTGTAAATGCCCGGGTACTGTATGTCTGGAACAGCATCTTTTACAGATGGAACCAGATCACGGATTTTATGTACTGTGTTGAATCGGACCTGGATCTTGTGTTTATTCAGGATATTGGAGATCTTTTTGGATGCCACCTAGCAACATCAGCAAAGATGAACGCTTTGAATTATCTCAATTAAAAAAGAGAGATGATATTGTCGTCCTCTCAGCTGACAAGGGCAATGCCACTGTCATCATGGACAAAACAGAATATAACAACAAAATTCAAGAACTACTCAACGATGGCAGCTATACAAAAATAAAAAGAGATCCCACCAACAGCCTGGTTACCAAAACGAACAAAATCATCTCTGATTCAACAGCATTAATTGATCAGACCAAACAGTTCTCGGTGAAACCCTCTGCTGCCAGACCACCAAGATTATATGGTCTTCCAAAGATACACAAAGAAGATACACCCCTTCGTCCCATCGTCTCTACTATCAACTCCCCTACCTATAAACTGGCACGTTTTCTTGCTTATATACTGTGACCTTTCACTGGAAAAAAAACACCTCTGTGGTACTGAATTCTACTCACCTGGTATCGACAATCAAAGGCATTTCCCTGTCCCCAGACGACCTGCTTGTCAGTTTTGATGTGGTGTCCTTGTTCACCAAAGTTCCAGTACCTGACACCATCACTATCATTGAAGACTTGGTTCATCAATGACTGCATACTGATGTACCCCCCCTGGTAAGACATTGCTTAACCAACACATACTTCACCTGGAATGGAACTTTCTACAAACAGACTGAGGGCACCCCAATGGGCTCCCCCGTCTCCAGTTGTAGCCAACGTATTCATGGAAAATTTTGAAACTGACGCCATCCAGACTGCCACTCTACACCCGACCTTATGGAAGAGGTACGTTGATGACACTTTTGTCATCTGGCCACATGGCCAGCCTGCTCTAGACCAATTCTGGGACCACATCAATTCCATACACCCAGCCATCAGATTTACCATGGAGGTGGAAAGAGATGGCAAGCTACCCTTTTTGGATGTCTTAATTAAAAGAAGACCTGATGGCTCAATGAGCCACTCTGTCTACAGGAAAGCTACCCATACAGATGCTTACTTGAAACCGGATTCCCACCACCATCCATCCCAGAAGAACTCCCTCATCAAGACTCTATACCATAGAGCCCAATACATTTCCGACACATTACCAGTGAACTCAAACACGTACACCAGGCTCTCAGGGCTAATGGTTACTCCGACTACACAATCTGCAAAGCCATCACTCCAGTCATGAAGAAGGATCCTCTTGTGGAGCCACTCAAAACCATCACCTTACCCTACATTGCAGGAGTCACTAAAAAGATCTCCAAAATCCTGAATAAACACAAGATCCAGGTCCGATTCAACACAGTACATAAAGTCCGTGATCTGGTTCCATCTGTAAAAGATGCTGTTCCAGACATACAGTACCCGGACATTTACAAACTAAAGTGCCTCTGTGGTAGTAGCTACATTGGAGAAACCAAACGACATATCTCGAACCGCATCCGCGAACATAAAGCAGACTTGAAACATGGTAGAACGAACTCCTCCGCCATGGCAGATCACTGTTATAATTCAGTGGGCTCACATGACATTGACTTCTCCAAGACGGAGGTTCTTTGCAAGCCAACCGGCTACCATGAGAGATTCGTTCATGAGGCTATCCACATATACAAGCACAGAGACAATTTCAACCGAGAAGATGGATTCTGGCTTAGTAACCATTGGAAAGATGTTTTAAACCATTTCGGTTCTTAATTATTTCATGGTGACCTTCAGACCGCAGCTCTTTCGCTGGCATTGACTCTTAATACTTCTCACACCACGGTTAATGGTATGGTTTATAACATGATTATAACAGCGCCTCGCAGCTGTTTCTCTCCTCCCTCCTCTGTTCCGACCATGATGGACTCGTCCGTCTGAACGGGGCTCGTAGCGGTCCGTGGTGCTGATGTGGAGGGTAAGAATCCACCCATTTTTTCGCCATATAGCATCGTGATATATAACGACTTATTGTTGGTAGCTCAGCTGATTGGAGAATATATATAGTTTATTGATAACATTAAGGTAGTTTATATTTTAGTTTTTTATCTGTTTACTATATGGTATTCATTATATAGTGTAGTGTATACCCAGTTGCTGTTAATAGCTCTGCTTATTGAAGAATATATTGAGTACATTTATTATATTGATGTAATTTAGACTTAGGTTTTTTTTTTTCACATCGGTTTACTTTATGATAGTTGAGTTGTTGCAGCCCCTTTGGCGTCCATGTACGAGGTGCCTCTGTGGATGTGTAAGCTTTGACTTTACCATAGCTATTTCTATGACCATTCACAAGCTAATCACTCAGCTATTTCAATGCTAAATTCTCCTGTTTGATATGTAAACCCCTTTGTCAAGGTGCCTCACTCTCTCAACCAGCTTAAAAGACGCTGCGAATCTTAGCAGTGTTCATTGTAGCTCTGTTATCCCGACAGGTTTGTTCCTTTCACTTGAAGAAGGCCACTTGTGTTGTGGCCGAAACGTCGTGAGATTGTTATTGTTTTATTTAATTATTTTATTCTGATTCTACATGACTTTACCGAAAGAACCAAAGAAGATGAATCCTTGCAGTCACAAAAGCTTTAAATCAAAATGCATGAGCATCTTAGCCACGGCTCGGATCAGGTTCGGAGAAATCCTGAGCATGGCTCGGACCATGCTTAAGTTGCAATAATAATGATTCGTTTGGTAAAATGTCCATACAATGCGTATTTCTTGAGCTGGGAGTGGTTCTCCACGATGAAACGTGTCCACCTGCTGCTGGAACTTCTCAACCAGCACATCGTGCGGTTCCGTTCGCTGCAGAACCCGTGGGTACCGGTACTCCTTACGCTGGGGAGTTGTGCCTGCATTCAAAATAACTCAGGTCAGCATCACAAAGTGAACTTAAAATACATGTAATTATGATGCACTTGTTTACGCAGAAAAAACTCAGTCTGAAGACTTTTTCAGGAACATCCTGCCAAGTTCAGTTGGGGGGGCGATGTTGCTGTCTGATCCCAATCGAGTATTTGTCAGGTAATTTTTCAGCACTGGGATGTTTGGCCAATACCAGATACATGGTATGGTTTTTCTTTTGCCACGGGAGATTATGTGGCAACCCGGAAAAACCCTACACAGAACAAGGGGGAAAACATACAATCTCTACAGAGAAAGACGCCCGTACCAGAAACTTATTGTTGTAAAGCACAAAGAAGTGTAAGCACTGCGCTAACCTGCCGCTGTATACCATTACAAAGGCACTCGAGCATGCAACAGTGGTCAAACATAATTGGGCTGGTTTCATTGGCTGTTAGATAATATTTAATTATATATTCTGGATTCTCTACTGTTGCTGCCAATGAACATAAAACTGAACCTGCAGGACAACATTGTATACTCAATATATTCAACATTTTAGTTGCATTCAAGTTTCCAAGGAAGTTGTTTTTACACTACATTCAGACCAGGTGCCCGATTTTAGGAATAACACACTGCCATTAACAATTGTTGAATCATTGTGTATATTTACTTTGAGCAAGTTAAATATTTTATTTGCTTATACAGGTACAATACAATTCCAGTGAGTGTTACAATAAAAAAATAGTTAAAAGTTTCGGTTAAACATCTGTCATCAATTTGCAGTGCGCTTCATTACAGCAGTGAACTACCATCACACCTTATTACATAGCTGCACTGTATAGTGGAAAACCCATAACCCTAGCACGAATCAGACGATTAATAGTGGTAGGTAATTTACCACGTATCACTCATCTGAATTTCACATAATGCAAAAGTGGCATGGCCTTTATAAAATACTTAAGGAGCAGTGAAGTGACCTGTAGGAATGTCCTTCTTGAAGTCATCATGGAAGAATTGTTTGATCGTCTGGAGGCATGTGTTGCTATTCTCCTCCAGGACTCTCGAGAGCTGGCTCACAGCCTCCCGATCACCTTCCATTTGCCTCTGCAGATTCACGATTGCGGTCCGCAGCTGCAACTCGTGTTTCTGCAAATGGCAGCTCCACGCTCCTCTAACTGCATCCATTCTAGTTCCTAAATCCTGTGGAAGTAAAGAACAAGCACAACAAAAACCAACATTGTACAAATACACCAATTAAAATACCCGCTGCAGTTGGCAATGCACAATTGCAACTCCCATCTATTAAAATACAGAGTACGGAAGAAGCGAATGCATGGGAACGTCAATGACAAAAGTAGACCTGCCAAAAATAACATTGATCTAAACAAAAATCTAGTCATCTGGCCAGAAACGGCACAAAGCGGTATATAACAAACAGAACTAATAAGTAAACGTCACAATTTATCCCTCCAGAAAATCGACACATGTTTATGATTTGGGGTCGAGATTCAGTTAAAGTACATTTTTTTGTCTCATTTACACCGGCAGCACTTAACCATCGAGCCCAACACTGCAATTCTATTTGTAAACCATAAACGTGGCCCATCTCATGACATCGAGGAAGCTAAGCAGGTTGTGCCTGGATGGTGCTTGAAGGAGATGACCACTGTGCATGCCAGGATATCATAGGTGGCTGTGAGGCTGTGCCATGTTATGGTTAGAGGACAATGCAGAAAAACTACTGGACTGCGCTTCTATGCCACAATGTCCTTGCTCTCTAGCTTTACCAACTCGGTGAAGTATGGTCAAACATCCCATGTGAGGAACACAACTTAAGTCGATTTACAAAAGACTGAACATTGTTACTAAAAGTTGTAAATGTTCTGGCCATAAAACACACTTTTAAACATATTCAGCGAGACCCTTGAATATCTTGGGGGTTATTCTTGGAAAGTGCCACAAAAGCCAAAACTGTGAAATTCAATACTTAAGCCAATCCTAAATAATGCGGTTAGGTATACGGCAACCAAAAATAGACACCACAATTGAAATAAAAACTGTACGGCAAATAAACTAAAAACAAAATACAGTAATTGAAATTAACACAACCCTATACACAAAAAAAATCCTAAACAAATAGTAGTACAAATACTGAATACTGTACTTACCAATGATGATGATCCAAAGCGTGTGCGCTGGTGCTGGCCAACCACCCCCTCGTGTGCCATGCAAGCCTTCATAAGTGCTTGCTAACTGCACTTGCCCCAACAGTCTGTTAATAGGCTATACGGAGGATCGTTGTCTTTGTCCACAAGATTATTGCATGGCAGGTTGAGGTGCGACTGACTGCCTTGCATCCCTCGCCCGCCCCAAGGTATCAGCCAAGGATACGGTGCGCGTCCGTCTACACTCTACAGTATACGCGCGAAAGGCCAAAACTAACCCCCGCGATAGCTAAAGAGGTTGCCCGCGATAGGTCGAAACCATGAATGATTACACCCGTGATATTCAAGGGTCTCCCGTATTGGTGAATAGTTCCCTTGAAAAGCTTGAGGTACCTTTTGTGAGGCTTCCCAGGCATTCTTGTTTTCCTGGAAGGACGTCTCTTGATGCGACATCACTTGTTGCAGCTGACGTTGCTGATGGTCGTAGGAGTTGTGCGATGAGGCATGGAGCCGGTTCAACTCGGCACACAGGGATAGTTGCTTTTCTGCAGCCAAGTCAGACTGCGCTGTGCCTGCCTTACTCATATCATGCATCTCCCCATGCACACCACTCAAGCTGTCAATCATGCTTGTCCCACACACCTTTGTCAAGTCAGCTCCATTCTGCAAATCACTGTACACATCACATGAACACAACGTAGATTAAAAAGCTATATTATCATCAACATTGACTATATTCTGGCTCCCAAATCAAAACACACCATAATAGCATAAGTGACAATGATGTACAGTGAAACCTTGGATTGCGAGTAACTTGGTCTGCGAGTGTTTTGCAAGACCACCAAAAAATTAATAAATAATTATTTGATAAACGAGCGATGTCTTGCAATACGAGCAGTACGTACAGTATACGCTTTGTCTGCCGAGCGTCACGTGATCACAACTAAGCCAATGGTTCTCCTCTCTCGCTGCGGGATTGTGGGTAATCATCTCCCATGCTCGGTCTCAGTCGGCGTGCCTCACTCGTATAGTCAACATCCGTGCGAGCGTATACTGTGTGTGTGCGTAAAGCATTTTTTTAATTTTGTGTCCCAAGTGTAGCGACTGTTCTTTAGTAACTGTACTGCAAGTGAAAGTCGTCCTACACAATAACCCTCCTCCTCTCTCTCGTCTCCCTCACACCAGCCACGATTAAATGTAATTAATACATTTGATTACTTTCTATTAAATTTAAATAATAAAACTATAAAAAGGTATTTTGTATTAATCATTTTTATATGAATACAGTATTTATGGGTTGTGGAACGAATTATCTGAGTTTCCATTATTTCTTATGGGGAAATTCGCTTTGATATACGAGTGCTTTGGATTACGAGCACGCTTCCGGAACGAATTATGCTCGCAATCCAAGGTTTCACTGTATATGTAATGTCCCTCACCAAGCCTAACACGTAAGTTACGCAGCAGCAACAGAACCCTACTGGATATTCCATGGCATGCGTGGCAAGTGACACGGTGGAACAGTCCTGCAATAACGTGGCTCAAAACATGTTTGTACATGTTGCTCATTTTGTCATGGGCGAGAACAATCAGATAAATTAACATGTGGATCTGCAATACAAAACTTTGTCTCAAGTATGATATTTTACACGCCAATGTGAAGGCTTACTCTTTGGGTCTTTTGGTAAAGTCACGTAGGTAGAAAAATAATTTTAAAAAATCACGTTTCCATCGCAACACAAGCAATCGTCTTCAGGTGAAAAAATACAGCAGGCGGACTGCTGAGGCAGGAAGAAATATAGCGAGAGAGCTACTGCAGCCAAAGGTTATATAGGTTTGAGATGGGTATAACCCAAGGGTAAGTGGGCGGGGCTAGAGATGGAATTTTCAAGTAAATGTAAGATCGCAGAGCTAGGTATACCTCGGCCATTGTGTTGCTACAGATAAGCATGTCAATCTGTTAACGTAACCCCACTGCAACGGTGCTGAAGCCATTGTATTGCTCGAGATTAGAGATTAGCATGTCAGTGTGAGACGGCTCCCACAGCAGCGGCTGTGTTAATGAGACATTCAGCCTATTAAACGAGCGCCACCGCCGCATCGAGGACTCACCCACCTATAAACTTGCCCAATTTCTGTCCGAGACCTTGCTGCCATCACTGGCAAGACCATCTCAGCTGTACTTAATTCAGCTCACTTGGTATCTCTAATTAAAGACATATTACTATCGCCAAGTGATTTGCTTGTCAGCTTCGATGTAGTTTCTTTGTTTACCAAAGTTCCTGTGCCTGACACCATTGCAATCATTGAAGATTTGGTCAAACAAGGACTGAATGCTGATGCATCAGCCCTGGTGAGACACTGCCTCACCAACACTTACATCACCTGGAATGGAACATTCTACAAACCAGTTGAAGGTACCCCCAATGGGTTATCCCTTATCTCCAGTGGTAGCCAATGTTTTCATGGAAAAATTTGAGACAGATGCCATCCAGACATCCATCCTACGTCCTTCCTTGTGGAAGAGATACATAGATGACACGTTCGTCATCTGGCCACATTGGCCTGCCAGCTCTGAACCAATTCTTCAACCACATCAATTCCATACACCCAGCTATCAAATTCACCATGGAGGTGGAAAAGGATGGCAAGTTACCATTCTTGGATGTTTTAATCCAAAAGAGACCTGATGGCTCACTGGGACACTGTCTAGAGGAAAGCCACCCACACAGATGCCTATCTAAAACCTGACTCCCACTACCATCCAGCCCAGAAGAATTCCCTCATCAAAACTCTACACCATAGGGCTCGTTGCATTTCCGACCATCACCACTTAGCCAGTGAACTGCAGCACGTACACCAAGCCCTCAAGATGAATAATTCGGGTTGCACAATCCGTAAAGCTATCACCCCAACCGTTGGGAGAGAACCACCTGAGGACCCAATCAAAACCATCACCTTGCCATACATAGCAGGGGTTACCAAAAAGATCCAGGTCCGATTCAACACAGTACATGAAATTTGTGATCCGATCCCATCTATGAAGGATGTGATCCCTGACATGCAATACCCCGGAGTCTACAAACTAAGCTGTGCCTGCAGCAGTATCTACATTGGGGAAACTAAGTGACACATCTCAGACCGTGTTCGCGAACATAAGGCGGATCTGAAACACGGGAGGACCAACACCTCTGCCGTGGCTGATCATTGTTTTAACACTGTGGGCACACATAAAATTGATTTCTCCAAGACGAAAGTACTATGCAAACCCACTGGCTATCAACAAAGATTTGTTCATGGAGCCATCCAGATATATAAACACAGATACAATTTCAACCGAGAAGATGGGTACAAACTGAGCAATCAATGGAAGGACGTTATTAACCAGGTAAAGTCATAACTGGCTGTGATGCTTCCATCCTACCTGCCTATGTTAGCAGTTATTTCCGACTCTCTGAGTTGCATTACCTTAGTCTTTGGTTCTATTCGGTAAAGTCACGTAAAAAACAACAAAAAATCACAACACAAGTGGCCTTCATCAGGTGAAGGGACCAGACTGTCTAGACAGCATTGGAGTGAACAGCTTGGCTGTGTTCACTCCAGCGCTGTTCTCTGGCCGAAACGTCGTAAAAAAAATTTCTTTTTTTTGCGTGACTTTACCGAATAGAACCAAAGACTATGGATCCTGCAGTCACGAAAGCTTTAAATCTAGAACTTACATTACCTTGTTAAATGTCTTTACATTAACAGGCTAAATGTCTCACTAACATAGCTGCTGCTCCCTTTCCTCGATGCGGCGATGGCGCTCGTTGTTTAATAGGCTGAATGTCTCTCATTAACACAGCCGCTGCTGCGGGAGCCGTCTCACATTGACATGCTAATTGCTAATCTCTAGTAACACAATGCCCAAGGTATACCTAGCTCTGCGATCTTACATTTACTTCAAATTCCATCTCTAGCCCCGCTCACTTAACCTTGGGTTATACCCATCTCAAACGTATATAACCTTTGGCTGCAGTAGCTCTCTCGCTATATTTCTTCCTGCCTCAGCAGTCCGCCTGCTGTATTTTTTCACCTGAAGACGATTGCTGGTGTAGCGATCGAAACGGCGTAGTTTCTTATTATTTAATTATTTTCTACCTAAGTGACTTTACCAAAAGACCCAAAGAGTATGAATTCCTGCAGTCACGAAAGCTTTAAGTCAAGATTTAATGTGAAGGCTACTTATCAACATGGCAGAATTTTGTTGTACGTGATGGTAAGGTATTTAATGCGAAATGTGGAGTAATTGGTCTGCATACAAATAAATAAGTGACTTTATTTTCATTATATTTTCTCATTTCCCTCAAGCTCCAAAATGCCTTTTTTTATTCATAGGCTGACTTGCTCTGGCAAGCTCTCTGGGCCAGGGAGGGCTTGGTCAAGGCCTTCCCAGGGTCTACTTGAAGCATTAGAGGTCTGTGCCATGATTACAATTGCTCAATAACACGCAGCTGAGTTACACAACAGAAGCAGACTTGAGACACAGCAGGACAGTGCAATGTCGCGCTTGACATTATCTTAAGGGTGCAATCGATGTCCCGCATTTTGTACAATACTGAAGCCCAGACGCGCAGTCTCCCATTAAATGCACAGGAGAGAGAATTCAAATAGGAAAAGCATCCTGATATCTCCAATGTCCTGTATTGGCGTAAAATGAACATCAAATGTGACATGCTCGCCCTCATCACGGACTTGCACACGACATGGCATGTCCTCTAGAGCACTCCGGCCTGAGGCAGGCATGAATGCCATGTGCTACAGATGGGAAGTGAAGAAATATCTCCTGTTCATCTTTACCTCCTTATAGTGTTGTGGAGGTTTCCCAGGATTGTGTCAACATTGTCCGCACAGTGCAACATGCTGGCAACTCCATCCTCTGCTTGACTATCCAAAGAGGTCAGCTCTGCATTAAGAGTTTGCATCACATTCCGAATTTCCTGTAAAAAATAGATAACTCATGTTTCCCAAGTGGAATTATTACAAACACGTAACATGCATCCGTGAGTATTATAACACAATTTGCAAAAGACCAAATCCATTTTGGACCGACAGTATTAGTCTTTCAAGGGCAATATCCTAAAATAATACTAATTTTCATAGGCCACCTATTGGTTGTGTGTAGTATGGCAGCGAAAGGAATGAATTACCAATCGCAAAGGCCAAAGCCAAATGTGTTTAAATTTTGGCTTAAAACGTTCGTGACTGCAATTCTTTGGTTCTTTCGGTAAAGTGACGGAGATAAAAAAATAAAGTGAATAAAAATAATAAAATAAAAACCATGACGTTTCGATCGCAACACAAGCGGTCAGCATGAGGAAAAGAGGGGTTAGCCTCTAAAGGCAACCTGTTTATAAAGGTTTAAAATGGGTGTAGCCCAACTGTCAGCAGCATGGGTGGGGCAGCTAATGTTAATGTAAGTGATGGGAGTAGTCGACAACGACGGCACTGGTGGTGTCTTACCACCAATTAAAGGGCTGCCAGGTAAAGGCTTAAAATGGGGGTAGCCCAAGTGCCAGCAGCATGGGCGGGGCAGCTAATGTTAATGTAAGTGATGGTAGTAGTTAGCAACGATGGCGCTGGTGGTGAGTATCCACCAATTAAAGGGCTGCCAGGTAATCACTGCATCTCGCTTTACACACTCACACTGTTTACGGTGGAGGTTGCTGCTAGAGGTGATGGTAGTAGTGGGTAATTATGGTACAGGTGGTGGGCTTCCACCCCATTTTAAACCTTTATAAACAGTTTGCCTTTAGAGGCTAACCCCACTTTTCCTGATTACGACCGCTTGTGTTGCGATCGAAACGTCGTGGTTTTTATTTTTATTATTTGTATTCACTTTATTGTTATATTTATATCTACGTGACTTTACCGAAATAACTAAATGTTTATTAATTTTGCAACTTAACAAAAATTATGCCTCATCCCCCAATTAAATTAGATAATGTTCAATTATGTTGTTGCACAATATATTCACAATACCATACATTAACACTATTGCCATGTGAATGGTTATTTCAATTCACACGCCTTTTCAAGTTCCAACCTGTGCTTGCTGTTTTCTTTGAAGTTTCAGTTGCTGTTTCAAAAGAGAATTCTCCTCTGCCAGCCGCTTGATTGATGAATCGGCGTCAAGACGAAGTTTCTCTAGAATTCCAACAAGGTTGGACGTAAACGTTCTCAATGTGTCTTTAACCCCTTCAGCCTGTCGACAGCCACAGTAGGAAATCACAACATAAAAAGGGGTTAAAGGCCTCATTACAATATTAATTATAGCAGTGAATTTAATAAATGTCCAAACATTGGCTAACCAGGTAATCCTTGAAAAAGTCCATTCTGTAACGCAGTAGTTGCGCTCCGAAAGAACATCGCGTTATGAAAAAAATATCATTATAATAAATAGTATAGGGTAAAGCAGTTCACAATAAACACGTGAGATGTGTATGCAGGCTGAACAAAGACTGAAGCGTGTTGTGGGTAGTATCTAGAAGGATCCAGGAGTATCCCACCTTGTACGATGCTACGCCAAGGCAGCCGTACAACCATTTATTTCTACTCGCGCAATGTAGTTCTAGTCACTCAAATCGCATTATATCCAATTCGCACCTGCGTTATAAAAGTGTTCCTGAATACATTAATTGCGTTATATCCAATTCACATTATGAAAACCTGCTATAGGAGAACAGACTGTATTGGGAGATACCAATTGGCTTTCACATCTAAATTGAAAAATAAAAGTGGCAATCTTTGCAGAGATGAGGTTACATGCTTTTCATGTTAAGACATGTTACTAGACTATGGAAACTCGCACAGCACCACAGCATTTTCCCACCTTCTCAAGTCAAGGGTCGAAACAATGACTCACAAAACGTGATTTCAGTGGGATGCTTGCTGCTCGTGTGGCTGCCGGCGTGCCAGCGAATGAGATAACATCGTGGTGTACAGGAAGAGCCTTGGGGTTATCTCATGGTTGGTGCGTGACTTTTCAATGGGTATTTTTACAGTTAAATTATTATGAAAAAATACATCCACCCACATTAGTACATACATTACTTTGTTAAAACCTCAGGAAGCTGGAATCAAGAATGATGGAATTCAGGGTAAGCCAGACGGCTACTGAAATTAAGAAAATAATAATATAAAGCAGAGCCGAACGGAAGACTGTTCCTGCATTGCTCAATGTATGCACAGTCGGGTACGGCATAATGTCCTCCGCAGTAGGGTACGGAGCAATGCCCTACGCAGTAGGGTATGGAGTAATTACCTACGCAGTAGGGTACGGCGTAATGCCCTAAGCTAATCCTGTGCAGATAAATCTTATATTTGACTTGTAAAGTTAACTTACCTTTGCTGTAGTTGTTTGCAAATTTTGAAAAACCTTCTTATTGTGCATGTTGAGTTCATGTAACGATGTGAAAGTGGGAAGCAACGTGTTCTGCATCATTTCATCAACATCCTCCACGTAACGTTTCTAGAACACGCACACGATACTTGGACATTATGTCGAGTCATCACACAGATGCACACTGAGAAATGCATCAATGTTACTGCAAGAAACACTCCTGTGCCACACAACACAAACACACAGTATTTTCAGTATTTAAATAACAATGCTTTGTCCTCGAACGTGATAAACACATTTCTGTATTCATGGCGAGGAATTCATAAAAGTCCATGTCACTGGTGTCTGCACACCTCACAATCACCTCCTTGCTTTAAAGTTGTTTGGAAAATCAACAACGGACCTACTGGAGTGTTATAAAGAGGTTGCCGACTGATGGGAAGACCTGAAGCCAAATGGGGGGATTATTTAAGAGTGGCCTCTCATCCAACCCCTACCCTATGATGGGAGATACACAGCAGGAAAGGAGTCGTCTTGAAAAGCTTAGAGTACTTCTGGTTGTGAACCCCCTAATCAAGTGCAGCTACCCAAGGATGACCCTTTGATTTCCCTAAAGAACCACAGGAAGTTCCGGTGAGCTAATGGTATTCACTGCTTCTACAGAGGGCTTCAATAGCCCTGAAACAAACATAATTGATATTTGGGCTAAGCCATATAATGATCTCGATGAAACGGTGTCGTTTGGAACCCCCCACCATTTGGCACAGCTAAACAAATAAAATGTCCTACAAGTGTTTAAAACACTAATTGTTATTGTTACAGCTCACTGGTATGTTGAACAATCCTCACTATCAAATTTAGCAATAAGATTATAATTTGTTTGGTTGTCAGGTGGTGTAGGGTTAATAATGACAGAGCAGGTCAGACCATTGTGACCTAACCCAACAATCAATTACGAATGATATTGACTGCAAAAACATATTCGTTAAGTTATCCCATATCCACCGTACTCTGCCACGAGTTCTTACAAAGCGTAAGGAACGATCCTAACTTACCAGCCCTCAGATACACTTCCACAGTGCATAAGAATACCATGTGGTTATAAACATTACATCCTAACACCCTCATCGTTTGTGCTCTTATTGCTTCCGATTCTTGTGAAGTGTACAGGACGAGCTGAATAAAGAACAGATTGCAAGCATAACGTAACCAATACACCATGCATGTAGGCCAACCGTGTACACGCATCACGATTGTATGCGGTCCATATACATTCCTTGGGATTTTCAAGGTGTACTGGCAATCTCACATTTAATTGACAGTTTACTAAAAAACACATCTACACCACAATGATAAACACTGGGGATGTATGTAATCTATGCACTTACATTGACAAGCTCTCACGTTATGGTATGAGAATTTAACAAACAAAATGTTACTTTTACTTACGAGAGTGTGGTCCAATTGGGAACCGCCACTCTTACTGATCTCCTTCTGCTCATGAAGCGTCTGGACAAACTGTGCGAGTCGAGCCTGCATGAACTCTTTGAGGGAGGTCACCGAGCCCTCTACCTCCTCCAACACCCCCTGCAGAGTGTGCGAGCCGGCCTTCACGACGTCGTCTGCACGCCACACATTCACCCGCCATCAAGGTCAGTGCCTCGGCATGTAGTGTTGGACTCACTTGTCACAACAATACACGGATTCAGAGTTTGGACAAGCTAAAAGAACCCATATACAGGATGAAAATGCCCTTACCGAAAAACCTTACATAAGGAAAACACTAGTAAATAATTGTGCACTTGTCAAACGTCTAAAAAAAAGTCTAATAGAGTCTCGAATATGCCACACACAACGCGGTTCTTATTTTGTAAATATATACCTTCCCAGTGCATCAATTGACACACGTTTACAGCTTGCGAATTATAATTTAAGGTCACTATTAGGAGTGACACTAGTAGTGCCGTCATTGCAGTGTTATCGCCCTAACTTTTAATACATTAAGACGACAGGCAGGGTTGATCCTTGGATAAGGATACAGGGTTGATTTGATGCGGTTTCAGAGGTTACATAGTAATGTTTTACAAGAACTGCCGATTTGCTACATGTTTGTGGTCTTGAAATAAAATGGCACTCGTTTGTGTTTCTGGGTGTGTCTTCCACCATAAAACACGTTACTCTTGGGCAGCGCTTCAAAACCAGTGTTCCGTGGAAAGGTGGCAGGTGTGTCAGGTATTTTTTTTTTACTATAGGAAAATAACTTCAAGACCCCACACCCCTACCTCCTGCCCTCTCCATTGGTCACGCATATGCAGTTGGGCATACGGACACGGAGACTCAGAGCCGCACACATATATTGAAACACAAATACACTCATAGCCATGGATGCACACAGACACACAAATACACTCATGCAGTTGGAAAAATTATTGTCACGGATTTTGGCAGGACCATTTTATGTTCTTGTTCTAAAAACGACAAGTAAAAATACAGAATTGTGATTTCTCTTTCTTGGCTAAAATGCATTCACACCCAGCGGGGACCAGTAACTATTGTGTTTTAATGTACTACGCAGATTGAGCAAGCTCATAAGTCTGCACCGTGCAATGCAAAATGTTAAGAAGCACTGCTATAGGACAAATCACCGTGTAAGCCATGGATTCCCCGCTTACCCAAAGAAGCAGTGTAAGAGTCGACTATGCTGCACTGTAAGTCTCTCTGCTTCTGCATCTTCCCTTTGGCCTCAGTAAAAAGTTGCTCAATCTGTTGGCTGAAGATGGTGGACACCATTTCATTGTGAGTCTCTACGACGGTCTTCCTGTGCAGCTTCATTTGCAGGCCTTGCAGATCCTCGGTGGTTTCATCTGCTGTGAGTAGCAACTGCATACAACACGTAATATGCCAGAAAAAAACATGTCATTTTGTCACTGATGAGAGCCAAATTACAGGAATATAACAATTCATCCTCAGGGGCATTGAGCAATTGTAACGATTTATATTTGCAACTTCTCGTTGAAGCAAAAAGTGGCAATTGGCAAGGCCTCAAGCGGCTGCAGGAGGATTAATCAATAACATACAAAATCTATTATTTAAAACATCAATTATTACACGATTCGATTCTTCTATAGGGAGGATAAGAATATTAATCAATGTAAAGATCCAAACATTTTTAAGTTTATACACTTCAAAGTACATTATGAAAAAAACTTTAAAGATATTAATCCCAGTAAAAAAAACCCTGAGAAAATGAACAATTAATTTTGCAGATGGTACCATCTTGTTACCTGAAGATTGCACACCTAATGGTTTGTAAGACAATTTAAAACAGGATATTGATGTTATTCAGAATCAACTACAGGTATCCCTCAATTTATAAAAGCGAAGTATTCTTTAAAAAAAAACAATAAATCGGGATGGCTTTTCCCTAAATACAAAAAATTAGGGACGTGTTTTGGACAGTCATTCAAACTCTACTCCTCACCTAAAAAGATCCACTTTTCACAATACAAAAATAAGAAAAACATAAACATTAAAACGATAATATTTTTTTTTAAATCATTAACCTTTTCAGGGAAACTCACCAAAAGATCTGCATTTTGGAATGACTGGTAAGGTAATGTACAGGCATTACAGTTGCACGAGGAATACCGCTACTCTGTTGCGGATGGATGATGCAGCCTCCCAGTGCTTCGTTTGATTTCGGGACACGTGGGCGGTGAAATTTCGTGTGCGAAATTCAATCTAGTTAACCGAAAAGTATCCATAATTTTTCAATTGCTTTAACGAAAATTTTCTAAAACCGAATATTTGTAAAATCGAGGGATACTTGTGTTGCTTTGAAAACTCATTCTCAAAATGAGTAAAACAAATCTAGATTGAGTAAAACTAAATTTATGTTTTTTTCCCCTCTTAAGATAAATTGTGACTCTTCCCTTACAATCTGGATTTTGGCATTGAATAGTCTAATTGTTGAATATACTGATCATTATAAATATATTCATCAGTCTAATAATCAATCTTCAGCAGTTTTTTCTTGCTGTGGTTGTCCCACCTGATGACGATTGCTTGTGTTGCGATCGAAACGTTGGGATCTATTATTTTTCTACCTACATGACTTTACCGAAAGAACCAAAGAGTAGTCTAATGATCAGTTCAATAAATATACCATTCAGTGCCAATGCATATTGATCAGGTAATCAAAAGAGTTAAATATAAGGTTGGCTTCGGTATACTTAAACAAACTTAACCCAGTTTACCTTGCTGCATTACAATTTGCAGTGAATGCTCCATCACTAACCTCTAGGCCATGGCTGGGCAAATGTCCTTGGACGTGAGAAACATTTTTTACTGCAGGGCTATTCTAATTTACACAGCTGTTGTCCGTAATTCTTCTCGATATGTCTGACCTCTTATTAAGTGCACAATCCTAAAAATCTGCGACGTGCATCTGATTGTCTATTAATAGTTACCAGATGTTGTACACAATTACGTGGCTTAAACAATAATTAATAAGGAATCATTTACATTGAATGAACTATGCACAATATGAAATTGCTGAGCTCGTGGTTTAGACCTGGTTCGCCGTTTGTCTTCTGTCAATTCATATAGAGATTATTGAAGCTAGTCATTCCGTTATTTTCCTATGATGTAGCATATCGTAATGCTTCGGTATACTTAAACAAACTTAACCCAGTTTACCTTGCTGCATTACAATTTGCAGTGAATGCTCCATCACTAACCTCTAGGCCATGGCTGGGCAAATGTCCTTGGACGTGAGAAACATTTTTTACTGCAGGGCTATTCTAATTTACACAGCTGTTGTCCGTAATTCTTCTCGATATGTCTGACCTCTTATTAAGTGCACAATCCTAAAAATCTGCGACGTGCATCTGATTGTCTATTAATAGTTACCAGATGTTGTACACAATTACGTGGCTTAAACAATAATTAATAAGGAATCATTTACATTGAATGAACTATGCACAATATGAAATTGCTGAGCTCGTGGTTTAGACCTGGTTCGCCGTCTTGTAGAGTTTCTCCTCTGTGCTACGGTGCTCCTCGACCAGTAGGGATGAGACTTGCAGCTGGCTCCGAACTTGGCTCAGGTCTTGGAAAGTACCTTGAAGCTGCATCTGGCATTGCTCCAGGCACGCAGTCTTCTCGTTCAGCTCTTTTTGGGAGTCCGTGAACAGCTCTGTCACCTACACGTCATGTCATAATCCCACGATATTCAATATAATATCCACAAATGCATAAAGTCAGAGTCTGTGGCATTAGTGTACTCACTCTCTTTGGGGTGATGACCAAAGGATTACAATGTAAAGACTCATTTTAAATTTAGATCCTCAAGAAAGCTATGCTCAGTCTGCCATGCCCAGCGAAACCCGGCAGATGATAGCGTTGACGTTGCTATATCCCCGCCCATCACCTCCCATCCAGCAGCAGAGGTGGAAACAGAAGTGACTTTTTTCTCCAACTAGTTTCATGTTCTTTGGTTCTTTCGGTAAAGTCACGTAGAATGAGAATAAAATAATACAATAAAATACTCACGACATTTCGGCCACAACACAAGTAGCCGTCCTCAGGTGAAGAAACAGGACTGTCCAGAAGACAGCACTTGAGTGGCTTCTGGACAGTCCTGTTTCTTCACCTGAGGACGGCTACCTGTGTTGTGGCCAAAACGTCGTGAGAATTTTAGTGTTTTATTTTATTATCATTCTACGTGACTTTACCGAAAGAACCAAAGAAGATGAATCCTTGCAGTCACGAAAGCTTTAAATCGAAATTTAGTTTCATGTTATCCAATTTGGCGAGTGATTGACCAGAAAGTGGGTAGGGTAATAAATTACTGACATAATCAGAATACATATTCGTTGCGTCTTTCGGTAAAGCCAATTAGCTTTACCCAAAGACCCAATGAATATAACCAGAATACCCAGTTCTACTCCAGGCATCATTACTAATGCGAGGCTGGTCCATTCCCTGCACTTCCGATCAGCAATGGTGGCTATGTAAGAAGTTCCAACGTTCATGTAAAATTGTTGCAAAAAAAACGAGGAAGTAATTTTACACAATTATTATTATTAACTATCAACTTGTTACATGCAAATACTGTCATCTGCAGAGGCCAATATTTCTGCTATCCACAGATCTGGGGCAAAGAAGCTCTCATGCACACAAGCGATTGAGACAGAGGAACAAAAACTCCATGACATCACAGATGGAACACAACAATCATAAGCGGTGTGGAGAATGTGTAACAAAATAAGCAGACAAATTGATTCCTTCCTATATCTTGCCCCTCATGAAAAATAAAAGTATGTTTTTTTTATAATCCCATCAGCCACACGGCCTCCTAGGAGTGCATAACTCTGCCGCATTGGTTGACTACAAGCAAACTGCACCAGTTTGACATTCAGTGTATCATCAGCAGTCAGGCTTGCTTGAACCAATGGTGAACGACCAGATGTTTATATGCAAAGACCCAATCAGCCCCACAGGCCAGAAACACTTATTCTCTTCAAAGAAAGAATAGATTTCAGTACAAATTTAGATGCAGTTAGATACACAAGACTCAATTACCGTATAAAGGCTATTCTCCTAATATGTAACAAGATCTTTGCTTTGAAGCCTAATATGAAGCCGTGACTCAGCCCATGCAACAAAATGTATTAGTCACAGCTCGGCCCAGGCTTTACTCTGGCTCAAGTGAGACGGCTCAAAGCCACTCTTAACTTGAGTCTGACCTGAGCATGGTCTCAGTCACACTTGGAATTTCCGTGAGCTAAGCCTGAGCCGAGCTATGGCTAAGCTGCTCATGCATCTCTGGAAGCAATGGAGCTGCTCAAGCCCAGGCTGAGCCTGAGTGTTAGAGGCTGAAGAGCCAAGTCGCGACTAAGAATACGACCCCGACTCATCTGCATTTCTTGTGCAAACTTCAAGTATAATATAAACAAGTGTTGTTGAAAGTTCTAAATTAGCCACGTCCTTGATAATCACCTTTTTAATTTCTTCTTCAATCGTGGATATTTTTTCATTGGATTCTAAGAGGAGCTGTTCTTGACCAGTCAGTTTGCCCTGCATTGCTCTGTGAATAAACACACATCCAATAAGTTATAAGCCTGCACAGAAACAAAAAAACCCACCAAATTCGTACATTTAAGATAGTATCGTTAGGGCTGTGTGCCTGTTTGGGGTTTTGCTCTCGTTACGATCATACATTGTTATTTTCTCATCTTGCTGGAGTAATTCAATAGTTGTTAAGTTTAGCTCATGCATCCTGGCTGTCGACGGGTCTTGATGGCCTTACTCAAGCGGAACTCAGCTTGCATCCCGATCAAGTCTCAACCAAAAGGGGGCGCAGCGATCGCAGCTCACAGATGCATGGGGCGTGTGGGGGTCTGCGCAAGTCAGGGGGGGTGCATGGGGGGTGTGGAAGACCGTGCAGGTGAGGGGGGGGTGCAAGGGGGGTATGGGAAAACCGTGCAGGTGGGGGGCATGGTATTTGCGGTATTTAATAGTCGTAAATTTGCGATAATATACGGTGACTCATAGGACATCCTTCTCAGAAAAGTATCCAGAGTCAAACGGCAAAATAAATATGAGTACTCACTCATAGCTGTCCACAGGAAGGTAGACGCCATTCTTATCTCGTGCCGAAGAAAGTTCCTTCTTGAGCCGTTCAATTTCGTCGGTGTATTCCTGCACACATTATACATTCAAGAGCAGGCTTGTAGAAATAAAATAAATAAAATAATAGAATACGACGTTTTGATTGCAACACAAGCAATTGTCATCAAGTATAAACAAACCTAGTGAACTTCGAAATACAATACAATACAACACAGAGTCGGCGGACACAACAGTCAGCACCTTACCTCGTTGATTACATTTTTCCAAAGAATGCTAAATTTGAGAGAGACACAAAACACAGACGTAGGTCCATTCGCTTTCTCTCCCCCGGCGCTGCGGGGTGGATTTCCACACAACTCTCTCATTGACATGCTAATTTCTCTGCTCCAGCAGACCCATCTCTCCGGCCCACCCCCCCCCCCTCTCTATTTAAGGCCTCGACACAGAGGCATTGGGTCTGTGTGTCTATGTTGTGTCTGTGTGTCTCTGTGTTGTCTCTCTGCTTGTGTGTCTATCTGTGTGTCTCCGTGTCTGTGTTGTCTCTCTCTCAAATTTAGCAATAACGTAATCAACCAGGTAAGGTGCTGACTGTTGTATTAGCCGACTGTGTTGTATTGCATTGTATTTCGAAGGTCACTAGGTTTGTTTTCTACCTGATGACAATTGCTTGTGTTGAAATCGAAACGTCGTATTCTACTATTTGTTTTATTTCTACGTGACTTTACCAAAGAACCAAAGAGTAATTCCTGCAGTCATGAAAGCTTTAAATCAACATTCTTTAAGCAATGCATATCTTAAACCTAAAAACTTTCAATTTCATTTTACAAAAATTCTAAGGAAACAACAATTCAAAGCTGGGATGTTTTTAAATGGCGTGTTGCTCACCTTGATGAGTGCCTTTTTTGTGAGTTTCTGGTTGACCTCGGGCTTGTTCATGATGTTTTTGGCACGCGCTGCATACTCTAGAGTGCTCAGAGTCTCCTACAGACAAAACGTGTGCAAACGGTATTCGATACGAATTATTATGGTCAAATAAACAAATGGCAAAGGAGTAGAGTACTTGAAGGCCCCAAGCAAAAAGAACATGTGCAATATTTTATTCCGTCAAGACTTTTTGTGATCAAATAAAAAAACAGGCAAGGAGGCATCTTGAATCCAACCTCAATGTTGACTGCCGCTGGAGAAATGGTGGCGATGATGGAGGTTTTGGTTCGACCACCCAGGGAGTCCTGCAGGAGCCGGGTCAGCTTTGACTCCCTGACACAGCCACATGGAGTTCAGTCGGCAAAGACAACATCCAGGCAGCAACATTGCCCATTACAACCGTGCACAATCTCAAACTAATACATCAATATGCGACACGACCATGCTGGACATGTTCACGTAGCCTCAGATCAAAACTCCCTTGTCCTCCTTAACCCAGGCAGTGCAGACCCTTATGACCGCCATACTCAATATGATGGCATCTTAAGTGCCCTTTTTTGGGTCCCTTAATGGCACCGTTCGATTCCTTGAACTCTTTTCCACTATTCACCTTCCAAGAGGACAACTGTGGACATACACCCTCTAATATTGATCAAATAAGTAAATAAGTACCACTGGCCAATGGCCAATATTACATTTTCCATATTGACTCAGGGCCATCAAGAGTGGTGATGATTTAAAGTTTCCTTTAGGCATGGAACCACTTTGAACTATCCATCTGACCTCTGCATTACGAGTCCCTTAGCACTTCATCTTGCGGACATTTTCTAGTGTTGGTTAAGAGCGACACGGGCACCCGCTCGCTATAAAAAGGATCACTACCGTGGCTGTTGCCCAGCAGAAAGCAGTTTTTTACAATTCCCTGCAATCTGCAGCTGTTGAAGGACTCAACAAATATCAAAGAACAATATTTCTTCAAGCACAAACCTTTAATCACGAAAATTGAGTCAACTGCAAATATGTATATATCGTTACACCTTTAGTGTTGAGATCCTGAGTTTAAATCTCAACCCATTTGAGATTAAACCCAAGTGTCTCCAGCTGCGTTACTGAGGCATAAACCTGTAAGGAATGTGTGGAGTCCTCTCCACGAGTGCGGTGATCACTCTTCCGAGGGTGAGCAGAGACTGGTTGATGTTCCCGGCCTCGCGAGCACGCTTGTCCACTGCTCCCGAGCGCCCAATATTCTCGCTGCCGGCAAGGTCCACCTGCCAAAATACAAAAGGAAAATTCAACTTCGTGTTGGTTTTCTAAAAATGGAAGCAATTTTAAGTAAAATAAAATCTCATCACAGGTTTTCACAGCCAATATTAAGATTCACAATATATTTTTCGGTTAAGCCATGCAATCGCCTCCGACTTCCTCAAATTCACATTTACTTCCCGTATCTTGTTGTGACGTTTGACATCGTTTCAACCAAAACGTCGTATCGATTCTAAATCTAGTTTTGAGAATTGTTCTTCAATTCACCAGTAAGCTGAACTAATAATGGTTGATTTGTTAAATGCTTGTACTCATGACATTTTAATTGGCTTTATCTAGTGTTAACTAAAACATATTCCGTAAGATTTAACATCATTTGCTCTAGCAAGGGACTGAAGCACGGCAGTTCGACCCACCATATTTAGCTTGCCAATCTTCACAAGCTCTTCCCCATCCATCATGGTCTCCTTCATGTGTATGGTGATGGAAAACACCGAGTGGGATCGGCTACAAACAAAAGCACATAGGACACCACAAGTAATTAGATGACCATTACGAGCAATGCATTGTAGTAAAGCACAGCTTTATTCAGCATCTTCTGTCACCTATGGATGATAGGGGACCAATGATTCTTGCAATCATTGGCAGATTTCTTAAAATATATGTAATAAAGGATTAATATAAACACTTTCTTGTGACCTCAACATTAAGGGCTCCCTACATTGAAATTCATGACAATACAAGTCCAAACCTGGGATACTACCAGTGGATAAGCTAAGTTCTAAATTGTAACCCCAGCCTTGTCAACAATAAATGGCAATAAATGAATGCCAAATAACAGACACAACGTGCTCCTGTTGAGATTCGAGCGAAAGAGTGGCAGTTGCTGCTGTCGCACCTGGAGTAGGCATTCATCAGAGTGGAGGCGGTTCGTCGCTTGGCAGCACCATGCTCCAGGATGTGGTAGACCTCATCCTTGTTGTGGACCGTCACCTCCTCCAAGCCCTTAATCAGCACTGCTCCCTTCATGGACACAAATTTAGTTCAACCAAGATGATGCTTCATCTCCATTCGATGTGAATGCAAGATGCTCAGAGATGCCAAATTATCTACAAATTCACTTTGCTGTGACTCCATTAATCCCACAGTATCTATCCGAATAGTGTAAGTTTGAGATCAGCATTAAGCCGAAAATAATTATTCATACAAGTCTTCTTACAGATTTATATCTTACCAAATGGGAAACATAAAAATAAAACAAGACAACTATTTTTTGGGTTGCATTTCCTTTAAATTAAGACAAACTAAAATGTAAAATATTTATATTTGCACCTCCAATTAGCACGGTTGGCTACGTACAGTGCAACAGAAGTTCAACATACACTGTTTGCACTTGGCTTAAAATTATTTTTTTTACCAGCATTATGGGTGTGCATAACTTCCTCAGCAAATCAACAGTTTAAAGAAATGTTACTTAGCACACTAGAAGCATTTACAGTACAATAAAACTCAAGCAAATTAGTTGCTTGAAGCATACATATGGGTTATTTAATTCAGTAGGCATGCTATATAAGTGTACCTTACTGCGAGGGTCATCAAACATTTGAAGCCTCTCTCCGATGTCTGGGCTGGAGCTAAGCAAGTCAAAAAGCTCTTCGTTGTAGATTTCCAGCAGAGAGACCTTTACCGAAAACTCAACCCCAAGGCTGGTGAGTTTTTCAAAGATTTGGTGGAGGGTCCTTGGGATGACCCCAGCCAGAGGATCCTAAACATCAAACACATTTAATTTATATACAAATGTAATAGGTATGAAGGTTGTCAAACATTTGTATTACCATCTTTGTAATGACTTACAAGTGTAGTGTTTAGAATGACGAATACACTTCTTATGAGGCACACTGTTGATTGTAATACTTCTCTTTACACAGTCCTTAACACTGAGGGGTATATGGTCCCCTCACCCGGTACCCTAAGAAGGTACAGCCTCCGAACTTAGCGTGACTTACACACAGGTCTCTTCCTAACCTAAGGAGGTACAGCCTCCTATCTTGGCGGGACTTACTCACATCTACCGCTATCCTAGTGTCCTCCGGCTGGGACCTAGTTCCATTTATTTATTTTTAGTTCCATTCATTTGGTATAGCCCTGTGAGCCATTCGGCTCTTGAATCGGGTGCAACCGCAACAAACAAAAACATGAACAAGAAAACATCTTAAAGTGATTATGTGACTGTGCAAACAGAAAATCCAGGAAAAAAACATCAAAATATTCCTGAAATAGCACCGTACACCAACGCTGTGTGCAAAAATCCCAGTGGGATGCAAGTCAAACAACAACAACCACAAGACAACTAAGATTAAGGCCATCAGTCCAACTCTGTACTACAATAAACAAAAACATGGCCAAAACCAAAAAAACGTTTTCGAAATCACCAAAATAAAAGCCATGAATGCAATGTAACAGTGATCATAGGGACTGTGACCGAATTTTTAACAATAAACTACATAAATAACATGTAACACCAAACCCTAGAGCCATATTTTAGGCCACTGAATAGCAGTGGCAGCTAGGGTTGTACAACTCCTCTAGAGCAGTTTTGAGTGAAGATCTCATAGGTAGTGATTCAAGTTGCAGTTTATTGGTAATAGCATTCCAGACCCTGGGGGCATCAATAGCAAAGGCCCTTCCTCTGTTTTTTGTACGGCAATAGGGAATGTGAAGCTGGTAAATGAGCGAAGACCTGAGGCTGACCCACCGCTGGCCCGGTGGGTCTTGACCACTGGACACGCCGAGCCTTAGCCCTCAGAAGGGCTGGAAGGCTGGGTCCAGGGTCCTGGCAATCTTCAGCCCGGGCTTCGGTCTTCGTGTAGAGAGAGAACTCCCTGCACTCTGCGCGCTCACCCTTCTTATACCCGTTTGTGGCAAGATCTAACCAATCCCACATTCCCACGTGGAACTGTCTGATTGGTTCTTACCAAACTGTGGCTACAATCCACTTCACCTCGTCTGACCCCAACCGTTATTCACACAGAGGTAACGCTGCACTGCCCCTTTGATACCTAGTGGCAATGCAGGTTACCGAACAGTGAGTAGTTAACACCTCTACACAAGTACAATTAAAGCTGACAAATTAGTATATTAGCTGGATATATGACTCGCTTAAGCATAAGCAGAACTACAGTGACTGGCACTGAATTATATTTTCATGCAGGTGTAGTGATAAGGAATAGGTAACTACGGCATGTAGCGCTGGCTTCTGGCAAAAAGGAGCTCGGCTGCCATGGCAACCCTGTCCGCCAGAGGTGAGGGGGTAGGCGGGAGGAAGGGATGTGGGGAGAAGGGGACAGAGGGGGTACGGGAGAAGCCCGGGAACCTTCTAGGGGTTCTAGAAGGGGGGCGTAGCCAAGGGGGTGCAAGGCTGCGCTGGGGGGATATAAGGAGGACTCAGAGGCGTTTGTTGGAGTGGACCCCTGGAGCCCGTCAAGTCTTCGTCATCAACAACATCGTCTTACCCTAGTCTCAGCATTGTGGGTCAAGCAGCCGTTGGTGTCCTAACCTTACTATAAGTATTCTCAGCGCCGACGAAGGCTATCAATAAACAGAGTGCCTCCTAATATAGTGTCTCTCCAGTCTGTCACGACACAGGTGTAATAAGTGATTTTTTTTACAATTAAGAAGACTCTTAGTCAACAATTTAACTATTCTACTCGCATACCAGATTCTATTCATGGTCGCGAAAGCCTACGTGTTAAACATACCAGATTCTCTCTGGGATTGCCCATTAACCTTAGATCTGTTCCTGACATTTGACACAACTCCATCCAGGTAATGTTGCTGCATCAATTGGCACAAAGGACCACTGTCTAATGCCTGTAAATCACTTCTATACCCTTAAACAAACTTTACATGGATACATGTGTCGTGACATAGAATCGGTCACTTAGCAGCATAGCGCTTGTTGCTGGCAGAGAAGGGGATCTACCGTTGCAGCAGCCCTGACAGCAGCTCATGTGATAGACCAGAGAGAGGGATGTAGGGGAAAGGTTGCAGAAAGGGCACGTGAGGGAAGCCCAAGAACCTGCTAGTCGGTTCTAGAGGGGAGGGGCGTGGCAGGGAAGGAGCGAGGCCACGCTGGGATGATAAAAGGGGACCCCGAGTGGGAGCTCGGGGCTGTCGCTAGGAGTGGGATCCCGTCGTGCTACTGGAGTCTTCGCCGCCGTCTACGTCTTCACCTTCTCAGGCGTCGTCAGTCAGGCAGTCTGCCAGCTGTCCTGACTGGGAGCTGTAGTTACTTTGTGTGAACTATTAAGGCTGTTAATAAATAGAGTGCCTCATACTCTTAGTGTTTCCGAGTCAGTTACTTCACATGCATTCTTTGGCATTACCACAATACTGATTGACATAGTATGACTTTTATTCCCCGAGCCCACAAGCTTTTAAACAAATTATGCATCGGTATGCATCTTGGTTGTTACCCATAACCTAGTGGGCCATGTCAACTTTTATTCTTAATTTCAGAATTTTTGGTAAAATGTTTGATCCACGCTGGTTGATCCCTCATTTCCAAATGGTAGCTTCATCTAAGGACAGCTTATAAGAGATAGTGCTACTGACTCTCAGCTCTTTCCAGATACAAAGCCGCAAGGAACACATGTAAATGCATCAACCCACAAATGCAAAAAACTGGCATCCTGTCTAGTTCTCTCATCCCTTCATTTCCACCAATAATGAATCCAAGTTTGCAATTCTTAATTTAAAAGACAAAGCCAATTTTTTTGGTTCATACTATGCAGAAAATTATTCTTAATGTCCAAAGTAATATCCCACCTATAGTTATTACTGGTTGTCAAAGCACATAGCAGTTGACCAAACATCCCAATATAGGACCACATAGCTTGGGCAATTGTTGGCACCAGTTATGGCTGCCTTCTGCCCATCTGGTTTTATGTGCACACCCACGTTATAAAGCCAGCAGTTTTCAGATGCAAAATGCATGAAGCAATATATATACTTTTTAATGTAAAATATATTCTTAGATTACCTCTTCCCAGGTGAATTCGTCATTTGGTGACCTTTCCCCTTCCATTGTGAAGGTTTTCCCTGTACCAGTCTGTCCATAACTTTAAAACACAGAAAACAAAACTAAAGCATTTATGAAGCAAACCTTAATACAAAACACAGCAGCCTTGATTTACAGCAAGTTGTCAAAACAAAGAATGCACTGCACTTGCTTTGTTCCGTAAGATCTAATATCTCAAATACACATTGTGGAACGTACTTGCTGGAGAGTAGGCAGAAGTGATGTCGTGCCATCCCAGACAAACAGGGGGGGTGTCCAAGTGTTGAAATGTACCCCTATGATATGAACCGTAGAAATCTAAAAACTAGTCATATAGCATCCTTGTCACTCTGAAAGTGTCGTCTCTAAAACGGTGGGCTTCACATTAAAAATTAAAACCAACTGGGTTTTATTCACTTGGCAAGTGTCCTTATTTTAAAGCATGGCCAAAGAAGAAACCACCCAACAGGCATGCAGCCTATACAACTCATGATCACAAACACCAGTGCCTAACAGGTCGTTTATTGTCCACTTTCAGAATGAAAATATAAAAAAAATCGTGTACAGCATGCATGGAATCTGTAACACTTTCCAGAATTTATTTAGTCATGGCACATTACGTTACAAGATGAGATCATGGAGAAGTGATGTATGTGGGTGGCGTGCAACACATTGGCCAGAATGGCTTATTTATTGAGCGCTCAATTTTTATTGACAGGTTTCAGGCAACCCTGATGTGGCCGAATTTATATAGGTTCAATCCCTAACAGCAACACAGATTGATATTTAAATTTCATTTTATGGATTATATTGCATCCCACGCTCGACCCACGGTATACTGAATGGGTAGATCGCAGATGGGAAATCTGACTTCAGGTTTGATTTCTCACAAACCAGACACCGCAATTAACATCAGGATTCACATCTCGACAGGCTCTCATATTGCCTGTCGAGATGTGAAGAGGACTGTATAGTCTAAACTCAGAATACTTTTCATAAAAAAAACATTTTTCCACAACTTCTAGGTGAGCAATAATTTATGCAGTATATTTTATTAGCGAGCAAGGATAGAATTCACATTATGTGTACTTACGCAAATACTGTGCAGTTGTAACCTAAGATAACTTCATCCAAAATTGGATAAACCACACTCTTGTAAATTTCTATTTGTTTTGCTGCAGGACCAAAGACCTGTAAATAAACAATGGTATTGTAACAGAGATAAATCATTTTTAAAACCTCATTTAAAATGTTTGTATATCAGCCCCAGAAGAAAACCAACATCATGTCTTTTGATTTAAAGCTTTCGTGACTGCAGAGATTCATATTCATATTCTTGGTTCTTTCGGTAAAGTGACTTTACCGAAAGAACCAAGAATACAACATCATGTCATTAATGATTCACTTGAAAAGGTCCCTTAATTTAAAAGAATGCTCAGTTTAACTTTATTCATGTGACATTTGTCCAACTTACTCAGCTATAAATAAAACGAGGTGCAACTCAGGTGTTGAATTTGTCCTGCACGTCGTGTATTAAAAAAACATCCCCACAAATTGCATCTATAAGTCGACGAGAGTGCTAGTGTGGAGATGATGATGCTGTACTGATGGGACATTAATCCTGGGCGAGAACCATACCATGTCATACGTATAGGTCTTCTTTGAAGACTTTTCTCCAAGTGGGACATTCAACTTTACAGACAATTCTTTCCTGGCTTGATCACATTCCACAATAGAATACGAATTTGCTTTCCTCTCAATTCCATTCAGTGGCCTAAAGAAACAAATGAAGTTACAAAGTGAGACAATTAGTCATAATCCTGTATCCCCAAAAACCAGTGCCTGGCAATCAGTGTGCCGCAGCAAAGTCCCAGGCGTGCCACGGTGTTTCGCAAGCCCCGAACCCGCACATCCCCGCTGCATTGATCACAAGGCAGGACGGCAGCAGACGGGCCCATCAGCCCCCACCCCCGGCCCTTTCAACCCCCAAGATCGCGCATGCACAGTTGGGCGAATAGACAAGGATACACAGGAACGCGGCCACACAAAGACACAGAGACACGGTGGTAAAGAGATACACAAAGACATGCAGACACTCACGCAGTTCAGCAAATTAACCTTATGGCGGGACCCCGGGGTCCCATAAGCCCCTGGCTCTCGCATAAACATTATATTATAATGTAAACACAAACTTTGCTCTTTTTAACCAATGGGTTTGAAGGATGGTGGCAAGTGTTGTTAAACTAAGCCTTTAAAAATGAATACTACTTACCTGCAGTACCTCTATTTAAATACACTATCGGAAAAATTATTTACACCCCTGTCAATCATCGTGTTTCTCAGTGTGGATTTGTAAACACACTTTGTAAACAGTACATGAAATAGTACACGTTTTCAATGCACTGTTCATATTGTAACAAGCGTTTATACCAATGTTACTCTACAGAGTAGTGGGTCGCCGGTCCTCTTATCCGCATTGATACGAGCGGTATGTTGGGACTATGGCTTAACCACAAAAAAACACCTATCTGCACAGATGCATACGGACAAGCAGAGTATTATCAAACAGGAGGAATTAACAGTTCAACGCATCTCATCTGTTAAATATCTGCAGGTAATAGGATTGTCATCGAATGATCCTGGCTGCAGACATTGGTAGGTCACAAATAATAATGAAGATAAGAGAGCAGTTTCACCGTATTATGTATACCGTTATGACAAATAAAGAACTTAAGTCGTGTAGGCAGTTTGAGCAGCTTTGGA